GTGTGTGTGTGTGTGTGTGTGTGTGTGTGTGTGTGTGTGTGTGTGTGTGGATGTGCCTGCACCTATTTGACAGGCAGGATGGGATCAAGTGGTCGTGGATAGTGTCTCATTATTGTACGAGATTCAATGTCATTCAGTACAAAAATCACTTGCATACATTAACAACATATGGAGCTCAATGATAAAACTGAAAGCTGCTAAATCATTTTTTTAAACGGGACAAAATGAGCACAAAGATGCTGCAACGTGTGTAGGACTGATAAAAACATCATCACAGCAAAATGTCCTGTTTTGATGCCTTTTTGGAACRAGAATCCTTCACTGACTTTCCAAAGTGAAAAACCTGCTGTCCGCTGCAGTTGCATTCATATTTGGCAGAATCGGAATAAAGATGATTAGTTTCAAGCAGTTAATAATAAATATGTAACTCAGCTGGAAAAGTTGCCTCAGTTTYGTCTTTTAAACACAACTGTTGTATACAAGTTCCATCTCAATCTAATATTAAAATGTGTTATCAGCTTGTGTTCATATTCAGGCACTTTTAGTCTTTATTGGACTCTTTTTAAAAAAAAACGTACAGTACTTATGTTCCCAGTCAGTGTTTGGTTGGATTTCATTAAGGAGCCAAACTGTGTGGGTTTGCAGAAATRGATCTTGGCTTAAAAAGGCCTCATTCACAAAGTTTAGTCACAAACTCATTGGTCACTCGTTTTTGTACTTGCTTTGTCCTGCTCGGGGTCACAAATAACGTGGTGCTTTTCTTCAGCAGTCAACAGGTGACAGACAGGATATAATCTTGACATTGCAACTACAAGGCAAATTACCGTGCAAGCTRCGCAAGGTCACGTTTCTTCCCAAAAGTAGCGACAGAAGTGGAARTCATTTTGATGATTTAAAAAAAATAAAAGGTTAAAAGTGTGTGTTTGTGCAACAAGACCAGCACTACTGCAGCTTTTGAGAAGTAGTTGTAGGTGTTGAATCTCTCTCACTGCAGGTCAGCTGGCACAGTTTACTGACAGATCCCTGCACAGCCCACACACACACATACTGGTAGTATCTCTGTGCATGGACCATCCTACACTTTAACGTGTCTTTCCCTCACAGCCGGCAGTCAGGAGGAATATGGGCAAATCCGAAAGCCAAATGGATATCATGGAGAAAACAAGTAAACCTGGAAAGCGTCGTTGGACTGTTGCGGAAATCGGACTGTCCGTCCTGCTGCTGATGGTCAGCTGTGCCTTGACTGGACTGGTTGTCCTCTACACATCAGCGGTGAAAGGTAACAACTCTGGCAGGATTACTGTGGAAAGGGTTTGGATAATGCATTAAAGACAAGTGTCTCGTTCCTCTGCGTTCATAACTGCACTGACTCATCAAAACACTTTCTGACACCCTCTAGTTTTGGTTGGGAGTTCCTTCCAGTGAATTGTCTTTGAGGGATTTAAAGAAAAGTTGCAGCTTTCTACGAGGATTAAAATAATCCGTGTTGTGTGTAACTTTGTTTTGAACTCAGAGCACTCAAACAGGCCGAGCATGTCCAGGAGCTCAGCAGGCGAAGGTGAGTCTAATTTGAAGAACTGATCAATATATACTTTAATTTTTGTTATTTCTCTCTAAATCTCTGATAGATGTGCACAGCAAAAATGCCAGTGTTAATTTAACACCCACAGTGTTAATTTAACACCCACAGTGTTAATTTGAACACCAACAAAGTGTCTATGTGTGTCCACACTCGGTGTTAAAATAACATTTATGAAAGTGTTAAATTTTAACATCCTTTTTTTGTTGTTGTTAATTTAACACCAACCAGTGTTTAAAATTTAACAATACTGGTTGTCACATTTACATTTCAACAGTGTTAAAATATAGTGTTAAAAGTAACAGCAGTGTATTATTATTAACAAAGGATATTATGGTGTTATAAAGGTTAACAGACACCAAAAGGTTACATCATAAATTTGAGAGTGTAAATTTAACACTCAGAATTAAAATCAAAACTCTTTGTAGAGTTGCATCAATGCAACTCATTAGTTTGAAAAGTACAATGGAGTCACCCTTGACACACCAGGAAGGACCTCTTACTCATGGTGTCGAATTATGGCCAATAACACAAACTTAAACTTGAACAACTTGATCAAACTGAACAAGAAAACTAACCAGAACAACTCATTTTTACTCTCATGAACGTCTTTAATAGTCATAAACATGCGAACACATAACTTCTACACGACTACCCAGCATCCCTTTTTGAGAAAATACTGGTCTGTCTGACATGAGGTGGAAGAGGGCGGGGCTTTTCAGAATACTTCTTTCAACACTGCATGGTGTTATATAACAACACTGTTAAGTGTTACATAAGACTTAACAGTGGGCGGGGCTTTTTAACACTGTCCAGTGTTAAGACAACACTGAGGAAATCAACAGTGAATTAACACCAACAATGGGTGTCACTTTAGCCAGAAAGTGTTAAAATAACACTAGGGGATGTTAAATAAACACACAAAAGTTTAACACAGAAATTATTTTATTTATTATTTATTCCTTTTTTCCTGCCTGATGGTAAGTACACAACTGTAGATGTGAATCTTTGCTGACACAGACAGACACTGTCCCTCTCTCCCACAGGGACCACAGATTTAGTTTTCTTAGAATTTCCTCTCCGTCTCAGTTGGAGTCTAAAACCAAGTTCGCTCTGTTCTTTCCTGATTGTTGACGCTGATTGTTTCAGGACAGCTGCTTCACTCCAACCTCAACAATGTGTGCACGACTGAAGACTGTGTCACTGCAGGTGAAACAACCTTGATTTTGCTTTGTCATCTTTGTTATTTTGCAAAGTCCCCCCCACCCTGCACACATGCAAGAGTTACATGCTTTTTTAAAAATTGTTGATCATTTCCCATTTTCTTACAGCTGCTCGGCTCTTGCAGAACATGGATAAATCCGTGAAGCCGTGCGATAATTTCTACCAGTACGCCTGCGGGGGCTGGCTGGAGCGACACGTCATCCCGGAGACGAGCTCCCGTCACAGTGTCTTCGACATTCTGAGGGACAAGTTGGAGATTGTCCTCAAAGGTCAGCTGGACCCACCCGTCGGTGCTCAGTGGGCCACAGCATTCGCAGCGGTGTGTGGGCTTCATTCACCAAGGAACTGTTTGCCTGTGCTTTGTTGTTGCAGGTGTTCTGGAGACAACGAGTGAAACGGACAGAGACGCCATCAGGAAGGCTAAAATCCTTTACGGCTCGTGCATGAATGAAAGTGAGGCTCTGACCCTTGTAAAAAATATAAAACGTGCACAAACTTTGCCCCTTTTAAAATGTTTTCAGAACAGTTTTTATGTAAGAATTTTTAGGCATAAACTACATCAATGAAGCATGATCAATCATCATTACTTAATATATCAACGTATTTTTACTTTTTAATTATTGCAATAGAAATATTGTTTTCTATATTTGTTGTAAATGTCATTTTGCACAAAAAAAAGAGTAAAAAATATCAAAAACAAATCTAAATGAACCAAATCCTGCCTAAGGTCTGATTTTACAGATAGTGGTCAGCTGACTCATTGCTTGCGAAATGAAAATCCAAAACATGATGTCCTGTGATTCCGATGAAGTGCATTTTGCATCAAGTCTAAAATCCAAAGTGTGGAAAACATTTGGATTCATGAGGACAGAAAGACAGCTTATTCTTGGGTGTTGGTTTACAGCGACAAGTGACAAATGTAGGGACTTATAATCTTACAAAAATAATGGATACTAATGTATCTCTCCCTTTTTTCTTACAAAACATTAACCATAATTAGAATGAAATTTTTCAAAAGATGTACTTTCCAGTGTGCTTGAGAATGACTGCTTTAAAGATGAGATAAAATAAAAATTAAAAAGGAGTTCACCAATCATTATGATCAGATTTGTACAATAAAACTAAATAACATAGAAACAAGAAGATGTTTTTTTTCTATAATATTGAGTTTTTCAAATGACTCACTGGATGTTTTCATGTATAAATTTAGGAATGGCTTTTTTGCACATACTGTAGAATGGAAAATTACAAACAACACCAAACAAATTTAACTTCTTATTCTGAAGTAAACAATATCAAACTAAACTGTTTTATACAAAAATTATGTGTTTATTCTGAAAGAAATAGTTGGGAATTACAAACATGGCTAAAGCAGAATCTAACTTTTTTTTTTTTTGGTTGTTCTGATTAACTTGTTTTTGGTTGAAAAAATAATCTGCAACTCTCAAATGACCACAGGAATTTAATCTGTGCATACAGCCTCCTCCAGACAAACAGCCTTGATTAGTTCATGTTGAAGTGTGTTTTCATTACAGGAGTCACCCTGGCTGCAAACATCCTATTTCTAAAGCACCTTGCATCCAGTATTATGCAACTCGCTTTCTATGGATAGATAACATTAAAATGTGTTGCCAGATTCTACTTTTGAGAAATAGCTTTTTATGTATGACAAACTAAAACCTCTCAGGCAAATAAACAAATTAGGAAATCTGCCAAAGAATAAACTTGAGTCTAAAGGCCCTGTCACAATATAACATTTTGGACAACTTGTAAAAATTCCCTTATGTCTAAATTACTAATAAAATTATATATTTGCTTAATTTGTTAGTATTACGATCTGTACATAAAAGAGGCTTCAATTAGATCTTTTTTAGATTTCCATCTTAAAGGCAGATGTCTTTAAAATTTTACTAAKTTAACATAAGTTGTATAAAACATTACTGTGTGACAGGCAGTGGCGGGGCAACAAAGGCATTGGCCACTGCTGAAGTTTGATTGGCCCCCTGAAGTGCCCTCAAAATTTTTGAGGAAAATCTGGAGGACTTTTAGAGTCCGACTGAAGTGAGATCAGTYAGTCAACTASCCATTTAGTTGCAATAAAGACAGCCATTTAGGGGCAATGAAAGTTACAGTGTAAGTATTGGGAGTGCTTTTATTTTGAAATGCTACCTCAGAAGTTGCTCAAAATTGTTGAGGAAAATCTGGAGGACTTTGTCACGTTTTCTAAGTTAAATGTGTTGGACCTACAGGTCTGATAGAGCAGCGTGACTCACAGCCCCTCCTGAAGCTCATTGAGACCATTGGCAACTGGCCTGTAGCATCAGAGGACTGGAACACCACAGCAGGTAGGGAAAAAAATCTCAACCACAGTCTGATTAATGTCTCCTACACAAACTGGCATGTGAGCAATGCATCCACACACTGTTGCTCCTCAAAAATGCATGCATTCACACTGAGCCGGTGTAGCTATATTTGCACTCAGTGAACCGCTGAGCACAAGCTTTGTTGGTGGGATCAAGAGGCCCGTCAAGGCTTTTTCAGCAGAGCAGTCAGGTGTGTGTGTGTGTGTGTGTGTGTGTGTTTGTGTTTGTGTTTGGGAGGGCAGTGGTGCGTGGGCAGAGGAGCAGGTCCTCAATCAGGACTCTGAAGCATGCTTTAAATAGTCTGAGCTGCTCTTCCCCGTGCTCTAGGCTCTTGCCACTTTAATTAAATGTAATCATGGATGGTGGCTCAAACGGAATTAACCACACATAGCTGCACACACAGATTCACACAGTTTGTGCGCAGCTCTTCACAGCAACACATATGGGTTCAAATGGAGTGCTCATTACTCCTTTTTTTATTCCAGAGGAAGCGTGGAGCCTCGAGGACACACTGGCAATGCTTACGGCCCGTTTCCACAAGAAGGTTATACTGGACATGTATGTGTGGACAGATGACCGGGACTCCAGGCGCCACATCATTTATGTAAGAGAACGCTTTGTTTGGGCACAGAGAAGCATGGCAGTTTTTGTATTTTCATTAATGTCTAAATAAATAGCAAAATTAACACTACTGGATTTTTTCTCAGTGATTTAAAACATTCTAAATTGATCCAAACACGCTAAATAACMACAGTTCAGATCCTTTGAAGTGATGATATGAAAAAGTTGTGAACAAATAATATCTTACCTGTCGCAGATAGTGTTTTAAATTACCTAAAAAGTCCCCTCAAATAATAAAAAACTTAGATTATATTATATTTTATTATCATACATAATTTGTGTTTTTTTGTCTTTTCTTGGTTTAGATTGATCAGCCGGGACTTGGAATGCCATCTAGAGATTATTACTTTAACGACGGAAACTACAAAAAGGTCAAACTCTGAGTTGCTTTATTTATTTATTTATTTATTTATTTATTTATTTATTTATTTATTTATTTATTGAACACTCATGGAGTTTAGTAAAAAATTAAAATGAACATATTTATAATAAAGTATGTATAAAAAATCACACCTTCAGATTATTTTGTCAGTACAAGTCTGAGCTCATCCTAAAGTACTCAGAACAAAAGAGAGCCGATTTCATTGAGCTTTAATTTTGTTGCTGAGGAAAGCCTGACAGGTGARTGTTGTGCCACAGGTTCGAGAGGCCTACCTACATTTCATGGTTTCTATTGCTAAATTAACCAGAGAGGACAGAAACTTAACTCAGGATGATGACAGAGTGTGGGAGGAAATGATGCAAGTGCTGGACCTGGAGACGGACATCGCCAATGTGAGTGCAGAAATTTGATAATGACAGGATGACAAATGAACTTTATGTGATAGTTCTAATGAATAAAGGTTGCATTGACTGTAGATCTAAGAGATAAGCCAAACTCGCAGGCTACTTTTTCTCTGGATCTCAGTGAAGAGCTTGAGAAAACAATTATGGTGCTTTTTTAAAAAAACAAAAAACTATCTTTCTTCTTGTTGATGGACAGGCTACATCTCCAGCAGAAGAGCGCCAAGATGTTACTGTTCTCTACAACAAGATGACGCTTGGTGAACTGCAGAGCACTTTCAGCTTCAATGTAAGGCTGGTTTTATGGGTTTAGTTGAAGTCATTTAATTCCTATCTATCAAAATGGTCTGCTTGTTCAGGTGCTTTTGAGCGTATCAACTAGTGGTGGGAATTTTTTTTACTATCTCACGATTCAATCTGATTCGATTTGATTCTGATTTTTGGGGCCATGATTCGATGCAAAATCAATTTTTTTTAAATGCTGATAATGTGAGCCCATCTGTTGTGCTCCCAAAGTGCTTCATCTTCATTTTGCAAACCTTGCACACAGTGAAGCTCAAATCAAACTCGGACCGATTCAGTAAAAACTAAAATGAGCCCAAGTCGGTTGAATCTCTGTTTTCTTCCAGTTTGGTAGTTTCCTCTTTGTTTTTGGTGCTTTCTGCTCATGCTGGTGATGTCAGGACGTCCCAACTAGTTACAAAATCGATTCTGAATCTTTGTAAATGAGAATCACGATTCTGATGTGAATCGATTTTTTTTGGTGAACCCCCAAAATGTCTATTATATCTGTCAACTACACAGCTTTAGCTTTTGCTTTGGTCTTTAAGGGAGATGAAAGATGTGAACACATCTCATGTTAGAGTGTGATGATAAAAGTCTCACTCGTCACAATGTTTTGGACAAAAACAGAAAGGGCACTTATTTATGGGAACAAACTTGTGTAGATGTTAGTTATTGTAATGAGCAGCAGTTTCTGGTTTGTTTAGTGAGAATGCTCCAAGATCTGCAACATATTTCTTTGAATATCTAGATTTTAAAAATCTGATTATGCAATGGTGTTCTAGCCCAGACAGACAACAATTCATTTATTGACTGTGCTTGGACGGGGGCAGCGGTAGCACTGTCTTGAAATCCTGAGGTTGCAAATTTCATGAGATTTGGAAAATGTGAAAACACCAAGCTCTGTATGGTGACATTTAAAGAACTGCAGAATAAAAGTTCAGTTGTTTTTTTTATTTTTTAATTWAATTTTATTTTATTTTGGGAATTTTCCATGCCCTGGATGCATGATGATTTACACCTCAAGTTTGTTTTTAGATACCAATCCCACAAGATATTACTTGTAAGAAGTGACTAATATAGTATTATTAGTCATTTTTTCCTGCTTTACAATGGACTAAGAAAAGTCTGTTTTATTTTATCGACAAAGAAGATTTGTTTTAGTTTGTTTAAATGACTGATTGGAGAAAAACAAATTAGAAAAAAATACCCCCCCCCCCAATCTTGCAAATCTATCTTCTGATAGAGCTGATCAGTAGTGAAATATTGTTTTTGTTACTGTTCTTTACAACAAGATGATGCTTGATGAACTACAGAGCAGGCAAAATCCAAAGGTTTAGAGTTAGATTTAGGCCTTAACATGCAGTGATCCATAAAAACAAATATTTTCTTTTGTTTCTTTAGGGTTTTAACTGGACACGGTTCATAAAAGGCGTGCTGTCGAGTGTTTCCATYGACATACAGCTGGAGGAGGAGGTGGTGGTGTACAGCATTCCCTACCTGGAAAAGATGAACGACGTTCTTTCCAGACACAGTGTTCGGTCAGTCTGATTAGARGCCACAAAGATTTGATTCTAATGAAAAAAAAGATGATGTGGGATAATGATTCGATAGTACTGTTTTGATGTTTGCAGAACCATTCAGAACTACCTCACATGGCAGCTCATCAGTGACAGAGTTAATAGCTTGAGTCGCCGCTTTAAAGACGCCAGGGCTCGTTACAGAAAGGTACAAAAACTGGGACATAAACGTATAACATGAGTTTGTTCAAACAGACACACACACACACACACACACACACACACACACACACACACACACACAC